AATTTCTTCATTGCCTTCAATAATTTATCGACTAGGTTCTCATTGGAAAAGTAGGATCTATGGTTTGTGGAGGGAGATGGTGATGAAAAAAGATCGGGGTTTATTATTTTTTTCTTTTTTCGAGGGGACGTAGGAATATATTCAGCTGTTCGATGAAATGCGCCAACAAGAATGCGCAGTTGACAGCAGCTTTTGATGCTTTGTTGGCTAATTTATGCAAAGAAATGGGGTACAAAACGTTGTACGGACTTGACCCGGATGATAAAAGCTTATGCAATTTTTATACATGCATAACTTGAGAATTGACCCTAAACGTGTTTGCAAATAAGTGTGTCCTCATCATATTGTTGTGTAAGAAAAGAAAGCAAATGATGCATATGAGTTGCACAATGAACTGGTTGAGTGAGGCTTAGAAGCAGATATGTAGACTTACGATAGGATGGAGCCTCGCTCTACATTGTAACTCCATAGGACAAATAACGCGCTTAACCTACTGTGAAGGCTTCCTAATGAACATATGTATACTATGTTGATCAAGATGCTAGCGGGGCTGTGAGGATTGATCGTGCAGTGGAGTTATGTGGTGATAGTAAACGGGCATTCTTTGTAAATTCATTTCTTTTCTCTGTTCAGCTCAGGCTGTGATTTGATAATAAATCCTCATGTTTGGTGCGACAATTACACAGAGCAGACACATGCATGCTTACTCTCCTCACTAAGATACATAAAATAAGGATACAAAACCAATTTCATGAAGATACATTTCACCTCATAAATTGATGAAAACTTCTCCTATTTGAGAATTACGATTCCATGATCAAAACAGAAAAAAATACTTAGTAGAATACTAAAACAATTTCTTGTAGATACATTTCACTTGATTTCCCGATACCTTGAAGTTTATTAGCACAATACCGTTTTCTTACTGACCCCTCTTGCTCAACAATTTGCCAAATAAAAAGAACCCTACATTAGGTTTTGGTTAAGTAGAGCCAAGACAATACAAAGACATATAACAGAAAATTTAGTTTATACTACCGTAAGATTCGGTGCATAAGAACAAATATGAAGGAAATAAATGCGCAGAACCATATAGTCATATTTATTCCAATTGCTAGAAATAAAAACTTGCTCTCCTTGGATACATAAGGTAGCGTCTGATACCTTGAAGTTTATTAGCACAATACCGTTTTCTTACTGACCCTTCCTGCTCAACAATTTGCCAAAGAAAAAGACTCTACATCAGGTTTTAGTTTAAATAGAGCCAAGATAATACAAAGACATATAACAGAAAAAATAGTTTATACTACCGTGAGATTCGGTGCCTTAAGGAAATGAATATGCAGAACCATGCAGTCATATCTAATCCAATTGCTAGAAAAAAAATCTTGCACTGCTTGGGGTACATAACGGAGCACCATTTGGTGTCTATAACGAAATAGAGTGTCAGTGCAAGTGATTGCATTGCTGATGATGAATGGACAAACGTAGCAACTTGTCGTTCCATTACGACAAGTAGTTAGCAATAATAGAGCAAAAAGAGAACAATTTTATTGGTTTATTAATGCATAAGTTCAAATATGTATAATTGAATTATAAGATTTATTAGTATTTTATTTAAATATTAATAAAAATAAATGAAATGGATTTTAAGCTAAACTTGGATGAATATATGTAACTGGGATATTGTATTTGTTATTATGAATTGTAGTTATAGTAATAAAGAAAATATTTCAAAATTTTAAGTTTATTCAAATATTTTTTGACTCAAAAAGCTAAGATAATTGTTTGATTTACTGCAAACTTGTAAATTCGTTTTCTTATAAGAAATTTAAATTGATCACCACCACCAACACCTAACAGGAACTTAATTAAAGTATGAAAGTAAATCTTGATCAAATTTGGTCCCTTAGTCAATATGGCAACAATCTCAATAAGTAACAATTAGTAAGCCAAGGATTTTATTTGAAAACATTGAATCTTGAAGTTTGTGACAGCCCCAAGCAAAATCATCACAACAGTAATTCTTTGCCAATTGGTTAAAGAGGCGACCTTTATATCATAAATGTTAGATCACATGCTGCGCTAGTAATCAGGAAGAGTATTTTATGTCTAGCTGACAATATATCCATTCATAGGATCAATAAAAGCAGTTTTTTATCGATTGCCTCTCACGAAATGCATGATCATATCCATAAACAATAATAAAATATAGTAAAATAGTTAAATATCAAAGAGTAATTTTATGTGATGTAAGCATTCATATAAGCATACAAAACTACTAATAACTTTACATGAAAATGTCTTATAAAAATTCCTAATTGTAATAAAAAATTAAGTTGTTATATAAAATGATTAAAAAATATTTTTCTTGAAAATTTCTAATTGAACTAAGATCAATCTTTCTCCACCTTTATCTTTTTTCTAGGCAACTCTAGAGTAGCATCTTTATCATCTACGTCGATAGTAATATCAGGCTGGAGTTGAATTTCTTGTGCTATTATATTGTCTTCGCCTCGTTCATCTTTTGTCTTTTCAACTAACTTCACCAGGAATTTGAATGTTTTTCCGATGTTCAAAACAAATTTTTGAAAATATGGACTTTGATTATTTTTCTGTTGCAATGAGAACAAATGTTATATTAATACTTATGAATTTGTTTATTTTCTAATTTACTACTTGAATAGAGTTAGGAATTACCTCTTTCTTTTCTGTAATGAATTTTTCTGCTTTGCATCCAATAAGAGTTTCTGCTGCGTCAAAGAGTGTTACTCTTGCATTATCCGTACCATTTTCCACGAGAATCTTAACTAAGTACCTGTATTTTTCATTGTTAAAGCTAAAAGACAGTTAGTATTGTATTTTAATATGTTCATGTCATAAAAAAAGATACATTACTTAACCTTAGTACTGAGTCATCAATGATTCTGCGGCATTTGACATTCAGACACTCTTTACTAACATCTTTATCAACCTTCTTATCACAGCCTTTACAAGCATAGAACCATGGTTCGAACCTATTTAAAATAGTAATTATCTTTGTCTTAAATGTGCAATATCGTATCTGTATATTAACAAAGTTTAGTTAGATTTAAATTTGTAGATAAGAATATGTATATAATATTATACCTGTATCGAATTCTGTGATGTATGTATAATATCACTAATATGAATTTCATTGGCATTTTTAAAAAGCGTTGATGGATATCCTTTTGTTTTTGCAGCTTCTTCCAATTGAAACCTGCATATTAGATTAAAATATAATACTATTTCATTATTGGGTTATATGAAAATATGATTGTTCTGCTTACCATTCCATTAATTCGCAAGCTAGTTCTATTTTTGGGTTGATACATAATGTTAAAATAATTTGCGACGATATGCTTGTATCCCCTGCATAAATGAGAAAATTATAAGATTAATTTTATGTTTAGCCATATTTAATAAGAATTTCATCAATAATTTATGTACCTTGATATATAGAGATTGTAAAATCTGATAATGCTATTACATGCTTATATTTGATTTCTGCTTCAAGAATTGATCCTTCATTTGTAGCCAAATCTCCAAATAAAGTTGCATGCATTGGTATTCCACTGCATATGAAAAAAGAAAGAACGTTAATCTTTTTTCTTCTTATGATATTGGAAATAAGTAACATGAATATACCTTATATCCATAAGCGTGATTTCCCTCCTTGTGTCTGGTTTGTTGTGTCTTGTAATATAGTTGATCACCGGCTTCACATTAGTTGTTATTGCAAGAATATCTGCTTGATAAAAAGACTATGATTCTGTAAAATAATGTCTCATTTTGTATTGAAGATTAAAGTAAGAAATTTATAAGTACTTACTAATTTTTGTTGCATCTTTCATGAAAATGCTTTTTCAAATGGGACAAAGTTGTTAAATATGTTCTCCAAGTGGAATCATGTTGGTGCTTCTTTGATCGATACGTCTTTTGTTAATACTAATTCAAGTGACTTGTGGATACTTGAATAAGTTGAGTTTATTCCTTTCATTTCTCCATTTGAAATGAAAATAATTTGATTTTTTTGAAGCATATCTATAAACTTTTTGATAGTCTCTCCGTACATTACTCGTATTTTGTTACCCTGCAAATATTATTAAGATAAGAGATCAATGCATGGAAAATATAATTAATTAATAGTAAGCTATATATTATATTTTAGTTAGTTATATGTTAACAGAAAAACAACATAAAAAGTCATTCTGAAAGTTGTTGGGGTTTTAATGAAATTACCAAATATATAAACAGGATTAGCAATATTCATATGATCAAACGTGACATTGTGCAAGAAATATTATACAAAGAATAATTTTATTTTACCTGAGCGTCAGCGAGAATTAGCTTTAGTAATTTCCCTGATCCTTTTGCATTTTTGTAAGTGGTCTCTGCACTTCGAAGTATGATAACATGAATGGTCCATTCTTTCTGAAACTTCTTGAGCTGACTTATTTGGATGTGCTGAGTTTGCCCTTCAGTACTGGTAGTCATATTTTCTGTTTATTTGATTAAAATATACATGTTAGTTTTAACCAATATTATAGAATATACCATAGCTTAGAAAATTAATTTATTAATTATTGTTCCTCATAAGGTTTTGAATATTAATAACTCATAATATAGTCTAAGTGGGGGAAATTTTAATTGAATGCTAAAGGAAAAAAGTTATACAATATTAAAAATTATAAATTATAGGAATCAACAAGAATGAACACACATAATTATTCTGAGAAATTAATTACCTTTAGAATAGCTATTGTGACTTTAAAGTTTAATACATGTCTGTTGGTTGGAGGACTTCCTTGTATACCAGATTTTTTATGTATCTTTCATCTTCTTTAAATTTTCCGTCCGATATTATAAGGACTTTGGTTGTTGTCATTGAAGTCCCTCGTGATAAAGCAACATATAGCTGCCCATGAGAGAAAACGTGTTGAGATAGATAGATGCCTACATGAGGAAATGTTTGTTCTTGTGATTTATTGATTGTCATTGCAAAACATAACCGTATCGGAAATTGTTTTCGTTTGAACTTGAATGGGAACCCCTCATCTTCTGCTGGAGATAACGGTATTCTTGGTAAGAAAACTTCTTTCCCAGCATGTTGTCCCATTGTGATCTTAGCATGAATTATATTACTATTAAAATCTTGACATACCATTCTTGTTCCGTTGCATGGCCCATTAGTCGGATCCAAAGTCCTTAATAAAATAATAGAACAATGTTTCTTTAATACCAGCTTGTGGGGTGATAATCCATTTGGTAGCAACGTGTTTAGGAACTCTTGCTGGTAGTGATGATTTGTGTCATCAACTGCTTCATCAAAGTTGTAGAATTCTTTACCTTCACCTGAAAATTATTTTATGATTCTATCATTTAGCATGTCGACATATTCATTTTTTGTTGCCAGGATTGCTTGATCTTTCATATAGTCAATGGATTGGAAGTTTTCATATAAAGATGGAAAATTTGATTTTATGAGGTAATCTTCTGGTAAATTATCACTTTGATTCTTGATCAAAATAAATGTGGGCAATGCTATTAGGTCATCAGCCATAGTCGGTTCATCTCCATTCCCAACTCTAAGAAGGAAGTCGCTAAATGTTGAATCTGTCCTTGCTCTCATATTCTTTGATAGCTTCAACTTTTCCATTTTGCTCCACAAATATGAGCTTACTAAACTTTCTCTAACAGGTTGTGATCTTCTTGCGCAGGGTACTACTGGTAAAACTTGTCTGAAATCCCCACAAAAAACGATTACTTTGCCGCCAAATGGTGCATCTTGATCCATTATATCCCTTAATGTTCTATCTAATGTTTCAATTGCAACGCGTTTAGCCATTGGAGCTTCATGCCAAATTATTAATCTGGCTATCTTAATAAGTTTTGAGGTTCCATCTTGCTTTGATATGATACACATAGATGATTCTGTTGTTGGTATTTTTATCTTAAATCTGGAATGTGATGTTCGGCCTCCAGACATTATTACAGCTGTTACGCCTGATGTCGCTGTAGCAAGAACTATCATCCCTTATGATCTTACTTTGGCAAGTAAAGCATGGTATAAGAATGTCTTCCCAGTACATCCTAGCCCATCAATAAAGAAAATCTCACTTTTATTTGCCTGAACACGTGATAGCACTGAATTATATGCATTGTATTGTTCAGAATTGAGTGTTGATTCAGCATTAAGGTCTTCAAGTGGAATTTGTACATTGAGTTCATCTTGAATTTCTCTAGGGTATGAAATTCCTCTTCAAGTGGAATTTGTACATTGAGTTCATCTTGAATTTCTCTAGGGTATGAAATTCCTTCTGAATTAGGGTTATGTTGAATAGGCGGTAAAGGGTATGAAATTCCTTCTGAATTAGGGTTATGTTGAATAGGCGGTAAATCAAATTTATTGATATCCTTTTCCATGCTGTATTGAAGAATTTAATGTAGCAGAGGGTGTCATTTATCATCGAAACTCTTGTAGCACCAGGTTTCCTGGTGAAGTCTTCAGATAATGAGTCAAGGTATCGATCACATAATTTATTAACATCTGCGGGCTCACAGTGAACAAGTATGGTTGCAAACAAACGGCGAAGGGTAGCTGGCATTTGAAAGATGACGGCTTCGTCTAAGCATTATCTGATGCTATTATCTGATTCCAATGAACCTAATTTCTGGACTGATTGTTTGAATGATGTGCATTAAATTCCATCCACAGTCAATAGATTCTCAAATGAGGTGGGGCATCTGATGTAAGTAAAAGTCGTAAGTAATATATTTCCCCTTCAACTGGATTAGCATCATTTATACGGCCTATCACATGTCTTTGTTTTCTTGGACTCCAACATTTTGTCATTGAATCCCAAACATAATATATTGGAAGTTCACAATATAATAACTCTTTTTCTTGATCTTTTTCTGGTTTTGATTTGTTTGATTCTTTAATTTTTGAACATAGGGTAAAAAATTCTGTAAGCATTGTCTTAGAGATATGGTCCCAGCGGATGAGCTTCGATAGGTCTTGATTCCAATAGGAAACAAAATATTGATTCGACAAATGTAGTTGTAAGTTGATGACAGCTAGGTAGATCTCATTAAGATAGAATTCATATATTCTCCACAAAACTTCTTGAGCCGATACCCATCCTGCATCTTGAAAATTTTTATTTCATTCACAAGTCTTCCTCCTTCATTATATTCAATGTTTACTGTCACTTTATCATGACCCTTGTATATGTATTTGTGAAGGTACTTCACTGCTTTAATTCCTAAGCATATTTCAGCATTAATGTGATAATTATAACACGTCAACAAATATGGATTGTAAGGTACAACCCACTGATTATTAAGGACTTTATTGCGGACCAACATTGTCTTGTTATCTTTCCCCCTCTTATAGATTGGGTAAGCATCTTTTGCTTGTAATGATTGTGAGCTAAATTCTCGATAGTGATATTTACACTCTTCATTTTGCATGCAACTGTTCTTCATGTTCAACTCCCCACAAGATCTGTGCATCATATGTTTTTTTACCAATTCATAGAGGATCGGGTGTTTAGATTGGTCTGAAATTTTTGCAGATACATACTTATCATACTGATCTGATGATGTGATCTTGTGATCTCCACTTAGAATTATTAAGATATGTGCATGTGATAGCCCTCTTTTTTAAAACTCAATAACGTGAACATGTGCGATAACTTTCCCAAAGATCTCCTTCTTAAAGAGTTGGTCTTTCAAGTCTTGGAGCTTTGCTCGAAATATCCTTGAGGTTAGATCCGGTTTGTCATTATGGGTGTGACTTGGATGTAGTTGCTTAGTGATCTCTTCCCATGTTGGATTACATGTCATTGTTATAAAAAGATCTGGCTTTCTAAATCGTTGTACTAATGACATTGCATCAAGATATCTACGACGCATGTCTCTAGGACCACCTATGAATGACGATGGAAGCACTATTCTCTTGCCCACTTAGCATGCATTTGCTTCCCCGACTGCTACACTGTCAACAATGTCTTGGATAACTCTGCTTTGATTTCTGATTGTTTATTTTTAAAGTAATTAAATCTTGTTGTTTCAAACTTTATGTACATATCAACAGCATATTAATGGAATAAACGACCCGCTGATGTAAATAAAATAGATTGTCGAGTCTCTTATCTGGAGCTTATGACAATAATAATCTCGGCATGATACTTTTCCAGGTTTTGGTGCCTTGACGCTTGTAAATTTGTACGTTAAGCTATGTTCATATATAATAATATTACTAAGAATTATGAATTTAAATTTACCTTCACTTTCCCGAATAAAAATGTCTTCTGCAGATGTGAAGGTTGGTGGGGCTACTGAAGTCGGTATTATAGTTCTTTGTTGATTGTAAGCTCTGATTTCCCTTTTATCCCTTCTTTTAATATTTTGATGTCATCCAACCTCTCTATTATGAAAGAGTAAGGGATAATGTAGCGGATCATAACAGCCAAAATAGTATTTCACTTGATGTCTTCCTCCTGAGTGTGCATGAACAACTATCTCTCTTTCAAATGGTGCATTGTCATTATTTCCTTCAACCCAGATTGCAGCCACCTGATCTGTTGTTGGTGAGTTGTTCAAATGGTGCATTGTCATTATTTCCTTCAACCCAGATTGCAGCCACCTGATCTGTTGTTGGTGAGTTGTAAACACGTTGATCTAGTGTCAACCCAGATTGCAGCCACCTGATCTGTTGTTGGTGAGTTGTAAACACGTTGATCTAGTGTAACGTTACACTATTTATTAGTATTTTAAATTCTTCAAAAGATTGATAATCATTCAATTTGTGAAGGAACTTTGAATATGGGTTTCCTTGCAACATATCCATCAACCTCTTAGTCGTGAGTTGACTAATATTTGCATTGTCTAGTATTCCCAAACGATTTTTTAACTCATTCTCTGTATCATAAAAGTAAAGCTGAAAGTATGAAGGCTTATTTTCCTTTGGAATTAGAGCAGGGATTTTTTATTTGATGCGAGCTCTTTATCGAATCTTGCCCCAAACGATGTGAATGAGAAAATACTATTGTACATTCTGGTGTGGCGTTGAAACTCAATTGCCTCTGGTGATTGCATTGTATAAAGGTCATATAATTCATTAGGAATATTAACATCTGTTAGGTGGATTTCACCGTTATGACAATAAAATGTTGGAGGCTCGTGTTCAAACTTTTTAGGTCCACAATACGCACAAAACTTTGGAGTGCATAGCTTGTATAGTGAAGAACATACCGGTTCATGAAGAATTTACCCTAACACAAATATAAATATTTAATAAACTAATATATAATGTTATATCACCCTTTTTAATAAACTATAAAGTATATCTACACCAACCTTCATACTCAAAGGCCAATAGCAGGGCTCCACAAAATAGATCAACTTTACGTTGTCGTTTGACATTAACAATATTACCAGCTGAGTCATTACTTTGTCGTTTTCTCTTATTATCCACACTTCTCTGAATGTAATCTTTCTTCTGCTCATCACTCAACCGAGAATATTTGGTTTTTTTAATTCTGGAGATTGGAGTGCTCTTCTGTTTAAAAAATATTCATATGTTCTTATAAACACACACACACACACACACACACACATATATATATATATATATATATATATATAGAGAGAGGGAGAGAGAGAGAGATTAATAGATTAATTTGTCGTAGGAGGGGATTTCCTCCTTGACGCCTCTAAAATCACATGATTGAGCGACATTATGGATGATCCGTTCCGTTGAACTTGATCTACATATTCTAAAACCTCAACACACCAAGTTTGGGGTGCATCCGTCGTCGTTTGACCCTCCATCGAGCCATGTGAAAAGTTCTATTCATTCAAAACCGTTAAAATTGACGTCAAGGATATAGCCATGTGAAAGGGTCAAACGACGACGGGTTCAGCAAACCTTGCCTTGAAGCCATTTTAGGCGAGAGAGTGTTGTGTAGTAGTTATGTTATCCAAAAATCAGAAAATAAATTTCTACAAAAGAAAATAATATGTAATATGACCATTAATTTATGAAAACATGAGGAATGCAGATAGTTAAACAAATTAGCGTAATTTTGCATAAAAATTCAATAGTAAACGATCAACTATAATCATTATTACAATTAAAATATAAAAATTATTGATATTCTTTACTAACCTGATACTCGTAATTATGGAATAAATCTTGAATATGAAATTAGAATTGAGATGGTATTATCCTGTAGGTAAAAAATGTGTCAGAAATTAAGAAAACAATATGAAAATTATATTCTATCCTAATCCTATATGAACTATCTATAGCTTAACAATTTAAAAAATAATTTTAATAAAATATACAAAATATCTTTATGGTATCGGTTTGTTAAGATAAAGAAATAATTTTTAATTATACACGCTGATCCCGCTGGGGTGGGGCGATTTAGAAGGGTAATGTTGTCTTCTTGTTTATTTTTTATTTTTTTAGCTTTAATTTTAGTGGGGAAGTGTGTTTGGGGGGTCGTTTTGAGCATCAATTTGATTATCTATACATCTTAAACTCAAATGAGGGAGGATATTTTTGAAAATACCCTGATTTAAGGGAAATTTATGCAAATAACCCAATTAAACAGAAAATATTATATTTTTAAACCTTCATAATTTATTATTAATTAATAGTTTGGATGATATGATAAACTCAGTTTACATAATCTTTCTAAATTTTCAATAATATTATCAATAAATTATTATCAATTAATAGTTTGGATGAGATTTTTATGGGTTGAGGGTTTTTCGTTTAATATTATCAATAAATTATTATCAATTAATAGTTTGGATGAGATTTTTATGGGTTGAGGGTTTTTCGTTTGCAAGAGGAATATTTCTTAATGGTGTTTTGAGATTTTGTCGTCCAAGGGCCCGACGCCCAGCAGGAAGATCACCAATGAGTTCACCGGAGCTGGATCGAGAGATGTTGGCTCTTGAGGTCGCACATCATTTGGAAGAGAATGTTGTGAGGACAATCACTATGGATCTCACTGTTGGGCTCGTTCGAGGAGGGAGGGTCATAAACACTGGATTTCCGATCACTGTAAGATATTTTCGCTTTTTCTGATCTGAATGTATTAGATTTGATGAATGTGATCTCTTGATTACTCTATTTCTCATTAAAAAGATTGATCTTTTTTCCCTTTTATTCAGGTGTTGGATTAAATTTTCATATATATGTATAATAAATATTACCATTGAATCTGGTGCATCCCGGGGTTTCTATTTTCTTTCTTTTTTTTAATTATAAAAAGCTCAATCTTTTTACCATTTATTTACTTGTTGAATTAAGTTATGTATTCATATTATAAGTTTTGTTATTTAATCTTCTGCATCCAATAGACTGTTCTATGCAATATACCTTATTACAAAAGGTAATAGTCTAGATTCATATTCTGTTTGCATTGTTATTGCAATGAATTTATGGTGATGCATTATCATTAACTATTAACTATAGTGTGATAGTTGAATTCATATTGTGTTAGTAGTGTGTCTTTGGTATGTATTGAATTTGGATTAACAGAAAATTGATAATTTCAGCTAGAGATTTGGATTAGAAGTAAGATGGCAAAGACTTCTGCGACGTTTGTTAACCTGGTCCTTGTGCTCTCTCTCCTTCTCTTCATCCCCATGGCAAGAGGGGAGGATTTTCACTCGTGAGTTGTTAATTGGTAATTCACTTTTATACTTATGATTCAAGATTCTTCTAACACCTATTTTCTGTGTCTCATGGATCCACAATGAGATTTTGTACACGCAGCTAGTCTAATGGAATAGTCTATGATATTGATAGTTCAACAGTACTTTTTTTAGTCATAGCACTATATGTAGCATTTTGTTCCTGACACTTGTGCTTGTGGAATTTAATATTAATGATTCAGTGAAAGATAAATCAAGTATTACCAACATATGTGTAGTTCCTGCATTGTACACAATGAATTTGAATTAACAGCTCCCCTATTTTTTGTGTCTCATGGATCCACAATGAGATTTTGTACACGCAGCTAGTCTAATGGAATAGTCTATGATATTAATAGATCAACAGTACTATATAATGATTCAGTGAAAGATAAATCAAGTATTACCTACATATGTGTAGTTTATTCTACCAGAATTCTATTACTCTAACCCCTGCCTGTTATCTCTGTTGAAGGCACATTCCTGTTTAATGCTTATATAAGGAATTTTAATGCTTATATAAGATATACTAATCTAGTTTTTATTATAAGGAATTTTAATATTTTAATTGATTAAAATATTTTGTTGTTTTAAATCATAACATAATCTATTGATTCGCGAAGGACTCCGACCGTCGAAGGATATTGATCGGCGGTTATTTTTGAAACGCAGGTTATTTTTTATATTTAATCATGAAAGGGCTTCTTAAAGTCATCAAACATCTTACTGGATAGCAACTTTGAAGCGCAGGCTATTTTTGATATACTAACTGAAAGTGTTGTTGATTCTTTACTTATGTCTTCCTCAGGTGTTATTGCTTGATTTTATCCAAAAGTTGCATAGCTTATCCAGATTTTGTTAGGCTCTTTTGCTGGTGTTATTGCTTGATTTTGTTAGAAATCTGAAATTTTCTTTAGAGATACAACTGAATTTAAGTTTAGCAAGTTCTCATAGCTAAAACATCCGAACTACAACAAATAATTTATATACGTATAGAATTGAATGAGGAAATAGCAAAAAACAAAATCCATATAATTTACTAAGATAAAGTGTAATACTCACTCTACCTAACTGAGAACCAATCTTCGGTGATCAATAACCATGAATAAAAGTTGAAAGTTTAATAGAATTGATATTAAGGTTAATTTGAAACATATCTGGGAATAATCATTGTAACTAAAATTTCAATTAAGAAACAAAACCTAATTGTACAGGAAGATTTACCTTGATAAATAGGAGAACCTGCAACAATCAAATCTTTAATCCTCTAAATTCTGCATAAAAATTGAAGAAATTTTAAAAAAATATCAATTGCCATAAAAAGTAATTACAGTGTAAAACAAATATCACCATTAAATAAAATACACAATATTTTTAAAGAATAATCATGAAATCATGAAATAAAAATAAAAAAGAAACATACATGTTGAAGGAGATGAAAATAATATGAAAATTAAATTGTGTAATTTCTTGGTTTATATATGGGCATGTTGTATGTGATAGGATAATAGTCATAATTAGAGTTTTATTAGGATTTGAATTGTATTACGGATGTAGGTGGGTTGGATTTGTGTTATGAAATTTATTTCTTTTAGAAAAATTTGTGTACAAAGTTATCAATCGGGGATATATAAAGTAACAGATAATTAATATATCAAATAATCTTTGGATAAGAATTAATATATCTATTAAAGTAATAGATAAGAATTGTTACAGGTGCTTCAAATACTCTTTAGCTATTGTGTACAAAGTTATCAATCGGAGATAAAGTAATTAATCAGGGAAGTTATTACGGCGGGGATTGATAGGATTTGTTATCAATCGGGGATATATATATTATATATAACAAACCCATCTATTAACATAAATTTACTAAGATAAAGTGCAATACTCTACCTAACTGAGAACCAGTCTTTGGTGATCAATAACCATGAATGAAAGTTGAAAGTTTAATAGAATTGATATTAAGGTTAATTTGAAACATATCTGGGAATAATCATTGTAACTAAATTTCAATTAAGAAACAAAACCTAATTGTACATGAAGATTTACCTTGATAGATGGGAGAACCTGCAACAATCAAATCCTTAATCCTCTAAATTCTACATGAAAATTGAAGAAATTTTAAAATAATATCAATTGCCATAAAAAATAATTGCAGTGTAAAACAAATATCACCATTAAATAAAATACACAATATTTTTAAAGAATAATCATGAAATAAAAATAAAAAAGAAGCATACATGTTGAAGGAGATGAAGATAATATGAAAATTGTGTAATTTCTTGGTTTATATATAGGCATGAGGTATTGTATGTGATAGGATAATAGTCATAATTAGAGTTTTATTAGGATATGAATTGTGTTACGGATGTAGGTGGGTTGAATTTGTGTTATGAAATTTATTTCTTTTAGAAAAATTTGTGTACAAAGTTATCAATCGGGGATATATAAAGTAACAGATAATTAATATATCAAATACTCTTTAGATAAGAATTAATATATCTATTAAAGTAACAGATAAGAATTGTTACAGGTGCTTCAAATACTCTTTAGATATTGTGTACAAAGTTATCAATCGGAGATAAAGTAATTAATCGGGGAAGTTATTACGGCGGGGATTGATAGGATTTGTTATCAATCGGGGATATATATATTATATATAACAAACCCATCTATTAACGTAACAGATAAGAATTGTTACAGGTGCTTCAAATACATTAAATTTAATTTAAAAATTAGAATTTGGTTATAGATAGGATAGTTCAAACTTTATAGGGGTATTTTTGTCTAGAGAAATATTTTTCTAAACTCGTGCTTTTAAAGGGAGTATGATATGATTAATGGGTATCATATGTCAAGGAGGGGATTCCCTCATTGACAATGATGAGGCGCAATCCCCACCAAGTGAATAAAGTAGGAGAGAGAATTTCACTTGATGGAGATTGTGCTACATCATTGTCATTGAGGGAATCCCCTCCTTGACAATAAAAAATATATACCTGGATCTTTTTCAAAATATTACATGAATTAGAAAAAGGAGTAAGTTGACTTACGAGGTCTCCCACAACAAGAAAGACCAGGTAGACACGATATAATTGTGCGTTTTTTTATCATCAGAACCATGTAAAAGCAGAACATGGTTTCGCTATGCTCCAAATAGCTCCAATAAGCGTTGTCAAAATCATAAACCTTTATAGAGAAAACCAATTAGTCAACTTAATTGCATATTCAAAAGTCTTTATCATTCAATTGATACAAAACAATAGGAAAGAAGTATCTACAGAAGCCAACAAAACTTCAGTGGAAACTGGAAATTATATCTAAATTTATATTCTAGATTATATATAGTTATCTATTTGCTTAGAGTTTGATAATGATTAATAGTGAAAACTACATTTGCATACAAATTCTGATTCACAGAGTGTTATTGACCAAGCTCAAATGCACAGACTAATCGATTGTGACTCTCTTTAATTTATTTGCTACAAGCCAATTTGTTATGTTAGCATTTTTATCCTCATTAAAGGGGATATAGCCAGAGAACTCCATTTGGAGTTTTCTTCTTCTTTTTTGTTTTTTCCCTGCCAGATAATTGCATATTGTTTCTTTGTCGGACATCTTCCAAGACTTAGTAGAATCAAAAAGGATACCAATGTCTAATGATCATTATCGAAGAATATGAGAAATCATTTTTCCTACTGCTTGTTGGAGTTTGCTAATACTCTCTTCTATGATCGCTTACGAATATGGTGCTCCTCAAACAAGCATATGCTTCCAAACTCAGAAATCTTACTTATAGTAGGTGAATTTTGTATATGACAGATGTGATTGCTATGGTCCTCTCCATGTTCACATTCTCGTATATTATCTGTCCAAGTTCGGACCTCTCTTCTAGTTCTTAGAACTCATAAAGTAAAGAAGTATCTTTGTGTTTATTGTCAACATTCTAATATACTTATCCATTCTAAATAAGGCTTCTTGACCTATTTTTACTTCAAAAAGCATTTTTATCTTCTAAAAGCAAAAAAGTAACTGTCATATTATTATTTTTATGTCAAAAATACGCTGAATAGAATTTTTTTAATTAAAAAAAGGTAAATCACTATAACTAAAAAATAATTTTAAATAAAATTATAATCTCACAACCTTTGTCTTCTATACTCCATATCAAATTCTAGCAAGGTCCCAAACTTTCTAATCTGGACTAAAAAGATAATTCAAATAATCTTTTCAAATTCTAGCAAGGTCCCAAACTTTCTAATCTGGACTAAAAAGATAATTCAAATAATCTTTGTACCTATGTCTAATCTGTACTCCTTCAAACTTTCTAATCTGGACTAAAAAGATAATTCAAATAATCTTTGTACCTATGTCTAATCTGTACTCCTTTTCAATGTTCTGGATATTGATTTTCATCTTACATTAGGTGTAGGATGAAATCTTTTCAACTTACAATTGGGTGTAGGATGAAATCGTATCAAAAGGAAACTGACAGAAGAAAATCATCAAAAATTCTCACCTGATATTTTTCCAATACCTCCCAATCCAGTGTAAGATCCTGAGATTCCGGTACTCGTATCCTCGTCGTCATCGTCGTCGTACATCGTCGCCGGTGAGTCCTGGATCTGAATCTTGACGAATTTCCCTCTCTATCGCGAGACAGCCGCCTACAATTGAAAGAGGCGGCCGCGGCGGCGACTAGAGTTAGGGTTTTCGTTCGCGTTTCAGATCTAACCCTAATCTTCACATGTAGGTCCTTTACAATGAATAAATGCACACGAGTGATGTTTTCACCCGTAGGAAGTTTTTTCCAGCGTTTCCCCCATTTTATTTTATTTTTATTTTATTATTTTTTTTTTTTTTTTTGGGGGGGGGGGGGGGGGGGTTGTGTGTTCTCACGCCTCTTTTGTATAAGGGGGAAAGAAATTTTTACTTTTTGTTCTTGCTATCGTCTGGATAAAGGTGGCTTAAAATAGGAATTCATGGTACTAAAGAAAGGGTAAATAAATAGATTGTAGGGTTTTTGGTATTAGGCCCTTCAATCTTCAAAGATCACAAATTTGTGCCTTAAATCTTGACAATGCATATTAGTCCCTTAAATCTTGGAATTGCATATTAGTCCCTCCAATCCTACGGAGTCTTGCAAAATCAACCTTATGTTAGTTTGGTAATGAAAAAACAAAATCATGATTGGGTTGACTACAAGCCAAACACTGTCAATTATCACATTACCCCCTCTTCTTAATAAAAGATGTAAAATCATCTCCTTTAATGTTTCAAACATTGGAGGAGAAGATGGTAGATTCGTTAAATGAGAAATTTTGAGTTACGGTATTTTTATGACCATTAGGGAAGAACTCAAGTGAATTTGATTTTTTTTTTTTTAAACAAGAGGGTTTTTGGTTGAAAATACTATAAAATGGATTTAGAAAGTTTACAGAGGAGTAAAGCCCTAATTTTGCTTCTAATATTTAGATTTGACAATATTCTACGTACTCAAATAATTGTAATTAATCATAGGGATGATTTCGCATGATGTTATGTGATTTGAGGGACTAACATGGAATTCCAAGATTTGAGAGACTAATATGAAATTATTGAAGATTTGAGGGATTAATATGTAAAAAGTCCGTGATTGCAATTACACAATCAAAGCCCTTGTCAGAGTATTTTTATTACCAAAAGCGCTTTTTCCCTCTCTATATACTTCATTGCTAAAAGTGGCTTTCATCCCATTTCCAAACTCGAAAGCTAGGAAAATGGATTCCAAAAAAAAGTCTCATTTTGGGTGAATACTTCTATATAGAAATTTATGCCCCCTCAAACAAAACAAACAAAAAGAAGAAGAAGAAGACATTCTAAGAAATTATTAACATGGCAGAGAACCAGACGAGCTCAAAATTGAGAGGATGATTATATGTTTGGGATTATTAGGCTAGAACAATTGCCCAATAATCATACATCCTAGACTTTTGATTAAGACTAAAAAAAATTGTGCTAGATATTTAGTAGACTTTTTGAAATTTTTTGATTGCATTCTTCAACAAAATGGTGGAGTTTCGGACTAAATTTATACTCATGGACTATGTGAATTTGGATTGTGACAGATTATCTAATACTATTATAAAAGTGTGTTGGTATGTTAAAATATTTCTTCCAAAAATGCTCTACAAACCACATACATGCATCCATAAAACACATACTTGTATACATATAAACACATATATATGAATGCATACATTCTTAATAATGGCATAACTCTCCTATTAATTGTCCACTAATATTAACTTCTATTTTTTGTAACCCCTCCACTAATCCAATATTAATGTTATCATAAAAAATTTGCATACATATAAACACATACATATACATGCATACATTCTTAATAATGGCATAACTTTCCTATTAATTGTCCACTAATATTAACTTCTATTTTTTTGTAACCCCTCCACTAATCCAATATTAATTTTATCATAAAAAAAATTTAGATTGTAAGTTATATTTGACATAATAGCTGAGAATTGAATGCACACACATATGACTAACTAATAATATACATTTCAATTTACAAACAAAGTGTCAACTTAAAATGCTTACATGTATACATTCTTAATAATGGCATAACTCTCTTATTAGTTATCCACTAATATTAACTTCTATTTTTTTGTAAACCCTCCACTTAAAACGCACATATGATAAACGTTTCAATTTGCAAACAAAGTGTCAACTTAAAACGTTATTAGTGCATGCATTCATGCATACTTGAAATGAGAGTTACATTTTCAATTGTAGTTTTTATTTAAGTGGCAATTACATTTGATTGTTACGGAATCCAAAGAGCCTATTTTTTTTATCATAATAGCCTTACTTGCAACCTATATAAATTCACTCATTTGATGATTTAGATTTACACTCACCTCTTAAAACCCTAACAGCATCATATACTCACCTCATGGCTTTATTATGATATTATTTGGATGATACAAGCTCGCTAGTGAAAACATTATTCCTTCAGAAGAGATAATGACAAAGGGGAGGTGAAGAAGATTGAAGTTGTGCTGAGAAAGTACTGAGCTTTACTCGGGTTATACTTTATACTGATGTGATTGTTAGACTGACGGCTATATGCGGATTGAGGATACGATTGATACAAGGAAATGTGGAGAATTCGGATTGAGGCTAAAGTTTGATGTCTAATTTGGGGGAGTTTTAATGAACTGTTTTTCTATTTCTATAATTATTATTACTATGTACTTAATTGTGATTTGAGAGAAATATTATATTATCTATGAACTTAGTAGATATATTTTTTTGTAGCATGTTGCTAATTATATGATAATAGAAGAGAGAGAAAGTGAAAGTGAGAATTTTATTTTGTTATAATGGATTAGCAAAAATAAAGATAATTAATATAAACTATAATAGCATGACACACTTAACATAAAAGTTAAAAACAAACTTGGAATTTTTGTCTTTTGGGTAAAATTTTTTATATAATAAGTATATTATAACCTCCCTAATGTTAAAACTATATCCTAAATTTGCACATAAAACTATCAGTAGTTATTAAATATCATTCATTATCTTAAATTATAAAGTAAATAGAACTATGTCTTTTAAAATTAAAAAAATTGTATCTTTTGGGTATTCCATGATTTGCCAATGTTCACAAAATAACCCTGAATTTTTTCACAAACAACTATGGATCTTCATAATTTTTACAAAGACCATTGAAATTTCATATATTTATAGAAAAATACTGAAACTTCATAATTTTTTTACAGATAAACCCCTATATAGTTCAAAACTTAAATATTAAGAAGATTGAAAGAAGTATATAATCTAGATTGTAAGAAAATTACAAATAAGTCCTCAAATGTTGTTATAATTACATTCCCAACTTACCAGTTCTAACATGATAATATGCAGGGCACCAAATACCTTGAGCTAGTCATAGTCATGTGCTGTCTCTCTCGACTACATCTCCATAGGGGTTTTCCCCTCAATCGCAGATGAAGGCAGCCTATTAATAAGGTGACTCGCATATGAAAGAACCTCAGCCCAAAAGATCTTCTCCAAACCACTATGTGCCAATAAGCATCAGATCTTTTCCAGTAAAGACCGATTCAGCCTCTCTACCACCCCATTCTGCTACGGTGTATGACTAATTATGATGTGCTTCTCTATGCCCTCGTCTTGACATAGCTGCTGAAAGGGGTCTGAAGTGTACTCGCCGCCATTGTCGGATCACAACGTCTTGATCTTTCTCCCAGTTTGTAGTTCTAATCTCTTCTTTCACTCCATAAACAAATCTAGGACTTCATTCTTATGCTTTATGGTGTACACCCAACAATACCTAGAATAGTCATCAACAAACGTGACGAACCAATATCGACCACCAAGTGATGTTATCTTGGTGGGACCCTAAACATCTATGTGCACGTAGTCCAGTATGTCCCTCATCCTATGAATAGCAGTCCAAAACTTCACCTTCGTTTTCTTGCCAAGAACACAGTGCTCACAGAAATCCACTTTTCTACTCTTGGCTCTTTTCAATAGCCCCTGTTTGCAAAAAAAACCTACAGTGACTTCTCTCCTGTATGCCCCAACCTGTAGTGCCAAAGCCTGCTCATGTCCGCTTCTGAAATAGCTGAAGCAACCTGGCCAACCTCGATGCTCCCCTTTAGATAATATAAGTTCTGACTGCGAACTCCCTTCATCACCACTAAAGATCCCTTAGTAACATTTGCTACAGCGTCTTTAAAGGTCACCTTGAATCTATTCGACTCTAAAGCTCCAACTGAGATAAGATTCTTCTTCAGCCGAGGAACGAATCTCACATTCTTCAATTTACGGACTACTCCATCGTGCATCCGAATCCGCACGGTACCTATCCCACAAATATCACAGGATTGATCATTTCCCATGACAACAACACCCCCATCGATTCTCTCAAACGATGCAAACCAATCTCGCCTAGGGATCACATGATAAGTAGCGCCAGAATCAAGCATCCAATCTGGTACATCCAAATGGTTCACCTCCGGAGTAATCAAAAGAAAAAAGCTCGAATTATCAAAATCATCGCCTTTCGCAACATTCATCTTGATCATTAGCCTTCGAGCCCTTTTTCTTGCTATTCTCCTTCTCTTTGATCTTTAGACAATCTCTTTTCCAATGTCCCTGCTCCTTGCAGAATGCACATTGGTTCTTTCCAAGCTGGTGACGACCTCTTGACTTTGGCCTTCCTCTATTACCACCTTTCGGATATGGGTTTCTACCTCTCGTCGACAAGGTCTCGCCTGAAGTACTAGCACGGAAAGTCTCCTTATCATTCTTCCTCAAATCGTAGTTCGTCAAAGCATTAGAAACTTCACTGTATCTGATAGAAGATTTCCAGTTTAAAAAAGTGAGCATAAATGTATTATACTTCTCATCCGGTAAGGAGCCTAATAAGATAATGGCCTTGTACTCATTTGAAATCTTCTCATCAACATTCGTCAAGTCCGACAACAACTTCGTATAGTTATTCACATGAGCCGCAAGCGAGGTGCCTCTGGACATCTGGAATCTGAATAACCTACGTAGTAAATGCAACATGTTCTCAACACTCTTTGTAAGGTACTTATTGTTAAGAATTTCTCACATCTTTATCGCAGACGTTACCCCAATCACATCATACTTCAGCTCCTGTTTCAAACAGGACCTGATTACCCCACAAGCATTCCTATTCATCTTTTCCCATATCGTCTCTTCATATTTTGGTGGTCTTTCATGGACCATGATGGTCTCCTCCAAGTTCTGAGCATTGAGCGCATTCTGTACGTCG